CACCCATGGTTTAGTGGCACCTTCTTTGAAACACAATTCATTTTAAAGCTATCCTTACATTTCTCTGACATTTCTTATTTTTGTCACAATTACTTTACCATTACATGATCATTAATTGGATTCTTATAGGTCTGTGAAATTTTCTGACAGATCTAGAAATGTATATTTTCTAGCATGTTTAGTACATTGGTATACTAATTCCAGACATGCATCATGATTCAAGACAGTCTCATGACTGAGACTTCAAGACTCAAAATACTGAGACTTTTATCCAAGGATCTCAGAGTTTTTTATTGGTCAAACCTCACAATTACCCCACCAGGCAGGTAAGTATTACCATTACCAAAGATATCTAAAAGTCCATGGGAATTTTTCCATTGACTTTCATGAATCAGGATTTTAAATTAGTGACTTAACAACAGCATAAAAGTCACAATATTTTGTACTGAGATCCTTGGATAGAAGTAGAGAAGTACTTGTGATGTATGTAGTGGTGGATTTGCATTCATCTCAAGGCATTCATCCTCCTCTTCCCTCTATCTAATTTAATCAAGACCTATTTTAGAGGAAATGGCAGAGCTGAGAATCCAGGTCGTCAGTCCCCACTGTAATCACAAGAGTGTCCAGATTTCTTTTCCATGATGAAGTTCAACGTTTATGGCTCAAGCACAGGGACAAACATTTACTCAGAAATGAAACTTTTATTGTAGAATCCTGCAAATGACTTTAAGGAGGGGAGGGAGGGGGGAGTGTTAAATATATCTTCCAAAAGATTTTGTTTAAGTTCTTCTAGGAATGCAAAAAAAAATCAGGAGTTCACAATTTCTAAAGCTTTCTTTCACACTTTTATAGTTTTTCAGATTCCTAGGCCTGATTTCAGGCTATTTTGTTACAGTTAAAGGGAAAGTCAGGTCATAAACAGGAATGTTTATGAAGACTCCATTAGGCACCTGTCATCCTAAATTTGGATAACTGGGCTAATAGCTAGTATTCAAGTACACCAAGATGCAGTATTGATAGGTTTGAATCTATGTGGGCTTCTCTTTTGCTCTCTTTCTTATTGCCACATGATTGAGAAATTAGATTGGGATAACTGAGCATTGTTAAGTATCTTAGCTTCATCCACAACATAAGGAGATGGAGCTTTAATTGCCAGTTTCACAGATTGTTGGCTGGATAAGTCCCATTACTTTTAATGAGAGTCACATGGATATATCTCTGAGCTGTTTAAAACTGTAGGGGCATCCTTGAGTCTTTAAGGCCCATCCCTGTGGATGCAAGGGGAGAAATGCTGTCTTGTGCAATTTTTTTCTCCCCAAACTCCAAAACACAGCGAAACATAAGAGCTGGCATTTTCCAAAGGGGGGCGGGGGGAGGGACTGAGTCTAACAAGGGGTGCCTTGAGTCTGAAAAGGTTGAGAATAACTGCTTTAGGGAATACAGGGTGTGTCTACATGTGCAATTAGTGCACACGAATAAAGTTCCAGAGTTTTTTGCTCCTGGGTGGGCCATTTGAATGTGTGCCCAGGAGCAAATAACTGTGAAGCATATTGCTTCAGAGTTGATTCGTGCACAGCACATTGAGCCTGTTTGGAGCAGCCCCAGAGCTACTCTGACCAGGCTCAATGTGCTCTGGAGGGGCTGGCTAGGGCACTAAGGTGCTTCAGTGCAGGGCTGGCCAACAGGCAGCACCTATACTGAAGCACCCTCATGCCCCAACCAGCCAGGCAGTGTCTACTTATGCACTGCTGCACATGAAAAAACTCCAGAGCAAGCTACTACTTGTATTTACAAGTACAAGCCTATTCCAGAGTTCATTAGTTCTGTGCACCCGTTGTACTGCAACATAGATGAGGTGACACTGGTCACAGACTCTAATACAAAGCCGTATCAGCTGCAATGACAATAATGAGATGGACCAAGGCCGATATCGCATTCATTTTTAATTTCTTTGGTTCAGAAGGTTAAAATTGCTCATCAGTGGTATTTTAACAGAGCTGAAATAGGCCCACTGTGAATAGCTGTACTACTAGCTTTCTTCTCAATTCCCCTCCAATCTATTTTGGTCCTCACCTCAGTAAAAGGCAATGTATTCCCAAGCCTAGTCAATCCCCCGGGGCTCCAAGATTGATGGGAGCCAAGATACATGTTTTATATTTTATTTTTCAAAGAACGCCTTGAGCCCAAGCATGTCTTTGCAAGAGCAACCTGTCTCCTTGACCTTGTGCCATCATCTCACAGAATTTAATAGAAAATGCCAACTTTGAGCTACCCCCTCATTTTCTTGAACTACCTGTTAGAACCCAATAAATAATTCTCTCTTTTCCAAAGAGTTCTACCAGACAGCCCAAAAATCTGCAGAAAGGCTCTCATTCTCTACTATATTGTGTAGTTATACAGAATATTATTCTCATCCCTACTAAATTCTCTTGGGTTTTTCTATAAGGAAAAATAAGGAAACGTGTCAGAGCCACAGTCAAGAGAAAGTCAGCAGTGTACTTTTATAAGATGACACAGACAAAAACAGAGAATTTCCAATTTGGGGTTCCATTTTAAACAACACTGATAATTAGCTGTTGAACCCTCATTGAAACATAGGCACTTTCAAAAATCCTATTATACATACTCTACAATGTAGAGTCTACATAAAGGTTACTTACTGGTAATTCACCAACATTCAGCCATCTCTCTAACAGAAAAATATAATCACTTCAATCACAGAACAAAAATAATAGTTTAGAGACCTGGCAGAGAAATGAAGACTTTAACCTACTGTAGTATTATGCGACTTCCGAAAGCTAGAGTGAAACGTTATGCTGGATTTTGGCCAGGACACGATGTCAGCTGCTCCTGCTCTTTCAAACCTGTTCCTCTTTCATGGCCATTAGTTATGTTCACATCTCATCTGGAAGATGGAGCCTCAGCTCCTCCTAACATCATGTAGAAAACAATTCAGTGCAGGCCTGGAAGAAAACTGCTACCTACTAAGTCACCAACACAACTTCCTACAACACTCTGTGATTTTTTCCCATATATTATAAAAATGAAGAGGATCAGTATAACCATCTTTGATCTTCTGCATAACACAGGCCAGAGAACTTGTAATTCCTACATCAAGCCCCTAGCTAAAAACTAAAACCTCTCTTTTAGAGTACGGACACCTAAACTAGTTACTGTGTGGGTAAAAGTCGGTGGGGCTTTACTCTCTGTCAGCCACTCTGCAGCCATTGACCGTATGCATGCTCTTACCCCAGATGATTTATGTCTAGTACTTGTGGTCAGAGCAATGGTCTAGGATTCCTTTGGGATTTCCATGCATAGGTTTGAATCCTGTTAAACTGAGATTCTGAAGTATTCTTCCATATATAGCAAAGTTGTGAAATCTTCTTTGAAGCCTTTAAGAAAGGGGAAACTAGGCATCTATCTTGGATGGTTTAGGAATAGCAATCATGTCTCTGTGCTGGGGACTGAACTAGTTGACCGCTGAGGTCCCTTCCAAACAGGTGTTTCTAAGCAGAAGCCAAAATGCAATAAATTACTCTGTTTTCACTGAGCACATTTAGCTTCTACTTACCACAAGAGGCACAGGAGCACTTGCCACAGAGTTGATGTGCAGTAAAACTCCACCCCTCTTTTATCCTGCAGTCAGTAAAGTGCCTGTGCCTCCATAACCCCTAGAGAGACATTCGGTCTTGATTTAAACTGGCTTGCGTGGACTTTGGATCAGGCTCCTAGGGGAGTGTTCAGGGGTTGGATTGCTCAGAGATGAGGCCCTCAGTGCAGGCAGGGGAGGTGTTTGCATGCCACATCTGTAATCATAGGTGGAGGCCAAGCAGTTTGACCAGGCAAAATGTTTAAAGGCCAGATCTCATTAGGTGCTGCTCCTCTTCAACTCAGAGCTTTGTGGTCCAGTCACACAAAGAATTAAGCAAATACTAAACTCGACCCACAGCGAGCAACTCCATGAATGAGTCCTTGCAGGAGCAGGGTCTCAATTAATCAGGCTTTCTACCCACGAGGGGGAATTTATAACATTCCCATTATCTTGGCATTTGTTTTTCCACATGCGTGATCCCACCGCTTGCCACAGCTCACTCCTTGCCAGTGACTTTGCAGCGGCGGCTCCCAGCCCCGTAGGAGAATTTCTCGTGTTCGCTGACGTCTCCACCCTTAGGAACAAGAGTCGCTCCCCGCGTGTGCAGGGCCGGCATCCCACGCACACTCCCCTGGAGCCAAACAGACGCACAACGCGGGATTGTGTCTGCACGTTACAAAACATTCAGCTCCAGAAAGCAGCTTTTTTTTTTTTTTTTCCACGGTATATTTTATTATGCCTCATAAATTAGAGCTGGAAAAAAAAACAACCCACTTAATAAGGCAACTCGTGCCACCCGCTCGCAGACAGTCTTAGGATCAGAAGAGATGAGGCTTGGGAGGGATCACATCCAGTCCACCCCTGCTCAGACTCTCTCGCCAAACCTCCCTGGCTGCAACTTGAAACCCTGGCTCCTCATTCTGT